GCTGCCTGCGAAACATAGCCACATACACAAGTCCCCCACAAACTACTTGCATTTGGCGCTGCGTCACCGAAGGCAACGTAAGCAGTGACAGAGTGGCCGCGAGATACTTGAGGAGCTTGCTCTCCCTTGGATAGGCTACGCCAAGTTCCCCATCCACCTGCGCGCCCTGAACCTCTGCCTTGGTCTGCCGACTGACCGATTTTTTGAGGTTACGAGGGACCTCCCACAGCTCATACTGCTGACGTAAAGCCAGGGCAGCTGGTGCCAATTGCCCCTCCATTTGGCTGAGGTCCACCGCCTTGACCCTCTCCAAGAGGTCGTAGTTGTCCAGGTAAATGCGCCATGAGGGGTTGGCCACCGTGGTCACCCGATCCTTGCGGATCTCCCCCTCTGGACGGTTCAGCCCGTCCGTCCCAGCGCCTGCGTCTGCTCCACTCCAAAGTGCAAGGTTGCGGTGGACATGCTGCGCTAAGCTAACACTGTTGACAAATCCCATGGGCAAAACCTTTGCTACCATATAAACGGACTGCCCTTGCAGCTCCTCCGGCAGACATGAGTCCGGGACCTTCCGGTTGAAAGCCAAGTACTTCCACCAGCATACCGGCACGCTCATTGTGTAGAAAAAGCAGCGCACGTCTTCTGAACTAACAACAAGCATCTCATCCTGGTCCAACATAAATGGGGTCATCATGGACCACATTGGAAGCGTTTCCACGTCTCCCTTGACGCTCTCAGCTATCCCGTTAAGAGGAGTCAAATTCATTATTAAACGAAAAACCTCGTGGCCCTGCTCCCATTCATCTTTGGTCACTCCGAAGAGCCCGTTGAGCAAGGGCCCTTGCGAGGTGTGGAAGAGTTCTTCCTCTCTCATAAAGGTACAAACGCCTGTGGCTGTCAGCCCGCGGCATACATCTGGCCACGCCGCATCAGGTACCATCACCCTTGGGGCCTTCTTCAGTTCCCATCGGTCGGGTGGACGGATGTAGGAGTCAAAATGATCTACATAATGTTTGGCCCCCAGTGTACACACCTCACTCAGAGGCACCCGTCCTATTTCCTTCGGTAAGGCCGGGGCAATGTTCTGCCAGGAGAATTCCCGTGCCGTTTTGACTTCATCCCCTTTATAGTCGATAGTGCGGGTGGCAAAGAATACATCCCAATCGAACTGTTCTACCTGTCCAGACCAAGTGACGACACGTTTCACATCCTTGACCAAGACCGACAGGCACTCACGTGCGACCTCAGAAACCTCACCGACAAAAGAAGGGCCATCCCCCCAAAGAGAGTTCAAGCCCAGGCAGATGTTACCCAACCAGGTAACTTCCAAGGGGCTAAGCTGGGGGAAAGTTCGAGACAGGATACTACTGGAGGAAGGTAAGGGGAACAAAGTGGTTTTCGTTCGCCTAACCGTGGGCTGGCTGCGGAGTCTCAAGACCTCCAGTAGCCACTGTTGAACTCTCGGTCCCAACTCAGCTACACTCTTGCCAACCAAATCACCACAAACTTTTTTCATCGACCCTTGCACCAACTGCGCATCCGCAGGAGCACTGTGGCCCCGCTCGAAAAGAAAATGGCCCTGGTCTTCAAAAGGGACCGGGCCACCTGTAGCCAGGAAACCTGACTGTCCAGGAAAAACACTCACCGCATCCTGCATCCCGTCCGGGACAAAAGCAGGGCAAATGGTGGTCAGGGAGGTGTCATCCCCCCCTAAATTTGATAAAAGGGGTCCAACCGGACTCCCGCATGTTGCACCCACAGTGGACTCATACACCGCCCCTTCTGTGGTCTTTGGGAGTGGCCGGATCTGCTTCACTTCTTGTCTCCTCCTCCTTTTCCCTTGTCCTTCCGGCCGTCGTCCCGTCTTTCGTCCCGTCGGGGTGGATCCGCCTGACCCTTTGCCTTCCCCTTCGGTGCCCCCTTGCCCGACGGGGACGCCTGGCTCTGCCACCGGGCTCGAGACTCCAGGAAGTTTTCCCGCTGCACCGACTGGAGCTCGCTCCTCGCTATCAGCGTGCTGGTATCCGGAGACGCCAACTCCGAACGCCCAGTTTGTGCCGCCCAGGACAGCCTCCTGCGCCTTTAGTCTCTGGCACAAGATGTCCATCGTCTGGGCGGGTCGCCCCCTCAACAGGGAGTCCAGGGCGCAGGCGATGTTCAACAGCTCGCGCGCTTGCGCTCCCGAGGCTTTCCGCCCGAGGATGTTGCGGAAGTACAACAAAGCTATAGGCCTTGTCGTTTGTTGTTCTCCCTCTTCCCCAGCGGTCGCCAAAAGGTTTTGCCGCATCATGGTGAGAGTCTCCAGCGCCAAGGCACCGGGGAAGCGCTCTCCTATCGCCCTGGTTTTCGTCTCCTCTGCAAAGACGCCCTCGGCCGTGGTGAGCCCCTCGTCCGATGTGGTCGAGGAGCTTGTGCTCCCGCTGCCACTGCTCGAACTGCTCTGTTTCGCTCTCTTTTTTGCTGCGTACTTCTGGGCTGCTCGCATGACCCGCTTGCGGACTCGCTCCTTCGGGTCGAGTGCGGTGCCCGCGAACAACGTCGTGACATCTTTCTGTACTGCACGGGCCGGGTGCTTCCCGCTGATCTGCTTCTCCTCTTTGCTCCTCTCTTTCTTCTTCTTTTTCTTTTTCTTGTCCTTCTTCCTGGCGCTTTCTTCTGATTGGCGTCCCGGGTGCCCCAGCTCGGCTCCCAGGTCCCCGCCTCCGTCGTTTTGCCCTGCTCCTCTCGCCCTCAACGCGGCCAGCTCGTCGACCTCCTCCCGAGGTGGCGTCATCAAATTGGTGGTCCAGGGCTCGTCGTCTTGACCTTTCCCCTTGCGCCCGCGCAGAGCGTGGATGAGGAGATCTCCGTGCTCCATCCTTTCGCAGCCGGTCGGGCAAATGTGCACCCGGAAAAGGGGATCCTGTCGGCTGGTATGCATTTTCAGGACCCCTTCGTGATCGGTTCCTGTCAGCCGCAGGTAGGCGTGGGATGACTGGTGGTCGGCCTCCACCTTGCGAATCACCCCTGCAGCCTTGATCATCGCTCCAAAGTAGTCGGCCTCTGTCAAGACCAAGGAGCACCCCGGCACCAGCTTGCCTGCCGGCACCGAATGCAAGGGCATCACTAAACCCGCCTCCCAGGGATCTTCTGTCTCCTCCCTGTGGCTGGGCCTCCTTATCGCGCCCCTGCCCCCATTGCCCGGGGCCATTGCCGGCCTCCTCAGGACCGCCATTGCTTTTGCTCTCCCCAAGGCTTTCGCTTTTGCCTTGGGGGCCATTGTTGCTCCCTCTGTGCCTTCTTCGCTCGCCGCTCCTCAATCTTCTTGGCCCGGAATTCCCGGGTTCGTTCTCTCTTTTTGCGTCCTCTGGCCTTCTTCCCCTGTGACCCGGGGGCCTCCCTGGGTCGTCTAGGCAGGGGTTCTCGGCCTTCGCTGTCCTCGTCGTGACGACCTCCCTCACTCGCGGGGCGTGGCCTGTCCTGGGCCTCAACGCTCCCCTCCTGACCCTCTCGTGCCCTGGACCGGGGCTTGCTGTCACCTCGAGCCCTCTTGCGGCTGGGCTCCCGGCCTGACCTACTATGGGGCTTGGGCACTGGAGTAAGACACAGCCTATTGGTCAGGTAGTGAGGGTCGAACTTGGCTCGCCTTCTTGCTAGAGCCTCCGCGCGCCCGCCTCGTCCAAGGCTGGCGAGTCCGGAGAGTTAGGAGCTTCTTCCTGCTCCCGCTTCTGTCCGGTGTTCTCACCTGGCGCGTGGGGAGGGCCTTCCTCCACTTTGTGATCACCTTCCGCGGCCTCAGACTCTAACTCCTCGTCGTCGGTATACGTATACTCACTCTTGGCAACCTCCTTTTCCTCCCCCTCCTTTTTTGCAGGAGGTTCAGATGGCCCGGAGGTTAGGCCCGTAGTTTCCTCCTTCCCCGGGGCAGCTTTAGGTTTGCTCCCGGTTGCCTGGTTAGCTTCGACCAGGTCGGTGAGCTCCCCCGCGGCACTCCGGAGGATTTCGGTCACACGGCGCTGTTGTCCCTCCTGGAACGTTCCAGCCCGCAAGAGGCCGATGATCCGGACCACAGCCCTGCAAGCGCCGCACGTCGGATCCCCGTCAAAGACCCGGCACTCGGCACACGGCATAGGCTAAAGCCAAAACACTACAGACATAAAAAGATAGAGGGACACTCTTTAACCCCGAGGACGTGGGTTCATATACATATATACATATAAACATATTTACATATATTCATATATACATATATACATATTTACATATATTCATATATACATATATACATATTTACATATTTACATATATTCATACATACATATATACATATTTACATATATACATATACACATATTTACATATTTACATATTTACATATATACATATACACATATTTACATATTTACATATTTACATATATTCATATATACATATATACATATTTACATATATACGGATATACATATATACATATATACATATATACATATATACATATATACATATATACATATATACATATATACATATATATACATATATATACATATATATACATATATATACATATATATACATATATATACATATATACATTACATATATGTATATCCATATATACATATATATATATACATATATACATATATACATATTTACATATATTCATATATACATATATACATATATACATATATTCATATATACACATATACATATTTACATATTTACATATTTACATATTTACATATATACATATATACATATTTACATATATACATATATACTTATTTACATATTTACATATTTACATATATTCATATATATATATACATATAAACATATTTACATATTTACATATATATATATACATATACATATTTACATATATACATATATACATATATACATATATATATACATATATACATATACACATATATATATACATATATACATATACACATATATATCCCACAAACCACTGTTTATCCCACAATCCGCTGGAAAAACATCGCATCCGCCTGGAAGTTGGCCCATTTCACCATGGCCCGTTGCGCGTGCCACGTGACAAGCAGATCTCGGTGCCTTAGCTGCTTGGGCTCCGCTAGCAGGGCATCAGCCACGCCACGCAGCTTTACCCAGTCCTAGCTAAGTTCCATGAAAAATGGGGAAAACTACGGGAAAAATATGGGAAATATGATATATGGCTGAAATTCAGGTAAATATGGGATTTTAATGAGTTGAAGAATGAGGGGAAATTGGAGAATTCCATGAATTCACCAATAAAAAGCGGGACTTACATCAAGGAATTGTGCTTTACTATGGAAAGTTTGGGAATTAAACCAAGAAAATGTTGGACTTGTAGTCGACTTATACTCACTACTTGGTGGTGCATCCCACTAGGTACATAGGAAATCACCGAGATTATAAATGGGCCAAGTAGGGTGATCGTCCACTTATACCTGGGGTGATCTAATCTACTTACTCGGTGGGATGAACCTAACCTTTGGATTTATAGTGGATATATCCTTAAATATCCTCAAACATATCTAGATGCTCAATCAAATAATAATGTGGGGGTAGATGATCCAAATGGTACTAAATAATGATGGGGGTACATGCAATCAAATAAGTTACTGACCTCGTACAATTATGGTGGTAACAATGGTCAATGGTACTTAATAAACAAAGGGTGACGACATGATCAAGAAGATGAAGATGAAAATTGAAAAGCAGCAAACACCAGACGGGTAGTGACAATGGATTTGCAACCAACAACCAGGAGAGACAACTAGAACACGATTTGAGGAGATCACCAACAAGGTGTCTTCACCACAGAAATTACATCTAAGAGTGGGTGCGTTCAGGTGTTTCATCACACCACATCGACATGGGAGAATTTATTAATCTGACATGCAATTTCCCCGTTGTGGCCGGATGACCCCACTAACCACTGAGGTGAGGAGGATTGCCCGATCTGGAATCCTTAGCATAAACCAAAGGTTTTCAAAGTAAGAGTCAGCGAACATCAGCGAACTCTGGAGGTACACGGTCTTGAGACGGCGTTGTTTCTTTTTTTGGTGCATTTTGACGTTATTTGGGTTCCTTTCCCCTTGAAATCCAATTCCTTTTTGCTAGCTTGTGAGCAAGTATGTTGCTTTTGTTGTCACGTACGCTCGGTACACCGCAACGGTCCTTGTTTTTGTCTTGCACCATCATGATTGTCATGCCACACACCAAATTTTCTTCCTTCGTGCGTTTTTTACGCTTGTGTTGGGTTGGGCGGGGGTTGGGGGGATGAGTAATAATGTTTTTGCTACTACACTCCTTATGATTGATGTACATGAAAGGACCTACTGGTTGCTACGCTGTGCACTCCTCATGGTACATGAATTGTCACTTTTGCTGCTACGGTTCTTAGATTTCATGTACGTGAATTAGCATACTTGTTGCTATTCTTTTCTCTCTTGCAGCTACATCTTTCTGTTTCTCATTCATAAGAGGACCGTGTAAAGACACATGCACATATGTCTACATATTATATATATACATATTTTATATACTCAGACTCATACTCATATATTTTGTATATTATTTCTGATAGACACGCCTGTGGATGAAGAAAAAACTTGTTCGTTCTTTTTACATTTCCTGGCATTGCAAGATGAATTACAGGTGAAATACGCAATGTTCAACGATTTTACCCGAGTACTGAGCAAGCATCTTACATTGTTTTTCTTCGCAATTCCATGTGAATTTCCCCGAATCCCGGGAATCCCAGTCCTGCTGCTGTCGGGTGCTCATGTCACGAATGTCCACGGCATGTGACTCCAGAACTTTTTGCAGCCGCAGCCGATCCTCGAGGCTCAAGGAGGAGTGGTAGATCAGCGTTAAAGCCTTCCAAAGGAAGCGAAGATGAAAAAGGGCACCAACCTGCGAATGAACTCTTGTACAGTAACCAAAAAATATATAGGGTGTAAACCACTCTTCTAGCAGGATTTGCTTTTTGGATATTTTGAGGGGCGACGTGGCTATATCCCGTAGAGACTAGTAGCGTGAACCTAACCATTAATAAAAGAAGAGGAATAAACTGGGCATTCTTCAACCAAGCAGCTACTCTAGAATGCTGAATGCTCAAAAATGCTGTCCTGAAGCAGCACTCTACAATGATGGTCCCCTGCCATGTATGTATGTATGTATGTATGGATGGATGGATGTATGGATGGATGGATGGATGGACGGATGGACAGATGGATGGATGTATGGATGTATGGATGTATGGATGGATGGATGGATGGACGGATGGACGGATGGATGGATGTATGGATTTATGGATGTATGGACGTATGGACGTATAGATGTATGGATCCATGCATGCATGCATGTATGTACACTATGTCCTAGCTATATTCATATTACATAGCTTGGTTGCATTAGGATTTTCACCCATCTAACTGGTTGATATCCCTTGTGAGCGACTTACATGAACTCATTACATTGAGCTGGGGCCTCAGGTTGCAAAAATCCGTCAGTCTAGGGCACCTGAACCAGCATCTCAAAGACCTTGTAGTTGATCGTCATACCACCCTGCTCGATCCCCTGCTCGATGATGTCCGCGCAGGCCTGCTTCGCAGGAGAGCCAGGAGAATCCACCATATTGGAAGAACATGGAGATAGATCAAGACTTATGAATTCCCAATAGCCATGTTCAAGCCTGCGGACCGAAAACCGTGCTCGTAAAACGCACGTTTTTGGAAACGCCAGGTCGGAGGTTATGTTGGGGTGGGGTGGGGGGGTGGTGTGGGGGGGCATGTTAACGTTCTTTGTAGTGCGTACATTAGATGTTGCTACGTTGCAGAGATGTCTGGTTTCCTTGCTACGTTACATGTTGCTACGCTGCGTGGACCAGCTGCAAACAGTTCATCCCCAACTCTTTGGGTGCCAGGCACAAAGATGTCATGTTGTATGCCAAGATGTGGCAATGGCGATTCATTAACAAGTACAAGAAGCTGCTTGAGAAAACTGCACAGATGCTGCGAAAGATATAGTGAAAAAGATGCCTGCACTTGTCCAATCGAAATAGACAAGAAAATCACGTTTTACTGTAGCGAAAACACCATTTGCATCCATTTGCCCAAAAAACACCCAAATTTGGACGTCCAAATTTCCCACTTTTCAAGTGACAACAATGGTTGCCTCGCTGAGGCAAAACCATCTTTTTTTTGTAAAACTCTATTTTCACGAGCACGGTTTCCGGTCCGGCGGGATGTTTAAGCACACCTATGCAAGTTCGAGAAAGAATCTTACCCTGAAACACTTCACGAGTTCGTCCCCAAGTCCTGGACATCAGATCTTCAGAAAAATTTTCCCACCAAAATGTCAGAAAAATTCAGGCTATGGCTTCACACAGCCCATGCCGAAAAAATCCAATCTGAGCCACCGGGATCTTTCCCACCAACATCTGTGCTTTAGCTCTGGCAGCAATTGCCATCAAGTTGGGCTTGGCACCGACACGATCCACCAACCTCGCCCGGCCAGACCCGGCATTTTTTTGAAACGGCCCCAGTTTCAAGGTCCCCAAAATCCATAAATCCAAGACCCAACCATGGTTTTTCCAATACCAAATGTTTGGCCGATTTCCAAAAGATGGTGCACCCGCCTGAAACCCTGAAAGCTGTGAATGTCCTGCACTTGCCAACAAAATAACAAGAAACATGAAGAGATTTGAAAGATTTGAAAGGTTGTTCAAAAATTAAAACAGAAAGGAGTGTCGCTTCGAACACGCAGGAACAGGGAAACTACAAAAAGAAAGGTCCCCGGACGATGTTTTCAACCTGTTAATCCTGAAGGGCAAAACAGGAGCGAGCAAAAACCAAACAAACAAGAAAAGTTTGTGAGCATGGGCCATGGGTTTACAAATGGTTCGATACAGAGCAGCACAGAGAAACAAAATGAGATTGCTGGACCACCAAGTGGTGAAATCAACCACCTTCTCTAGCATAGATCAACTATAAATCCCATTTTTCTTGGAATTCCCATTTGTTCACAGCAAGACAGAATTGTTTGATGGTAAAAAGATGTAAAAAGAGCCCATCTGTCATGGTCGTCCCGTCCCGATGGTGCCTGCGCCAAAGTTCCTCAGCGCGCTCAGAATTCCGCTGCTCCCCCGCCACGTGAACCAGTGCGGCCACCAGGACAGGACTGGCTCTCCAGCCTCTCTCCTGGCCAGAAATTACCATCCGCTCATTTGACCAATGGAAATTGTCCTGGAAAAATAGGGGATACCATTACTAGATAATCAGTATAATAATCTAGTAATTCAAGATGGCAATGAAACATCTGCATTGTGTGTATTGAAATAAATGCAGAATCATCTTCTTCCATATCTAACCTATGCTCATTTGAAGATCCAAAAATGGGTAGTTCACAGCACAAAGATGCCGGCTCCAACAATGGAATGCTTCGTATGCCACAGATGCCACAAGAGATGGGAGGCCCCACAAAGGTCCCTCCTCCAAGCTGTCAAGCATGTCATCCACCCGTTGCTGTTGACCACACTTGCTGAGGATGGTGAGAAAGGTTTCCTGGGACATTGACATCAAGGACTGGAAACATGCTGAGTGTTCGGATGGAAGGTGCCCCGGCTGACAAAAAAGCGCGGCGCTTGGTGAATTTTGCGTCCTTTTGACAAAAAAAAAGTTGGCAAGTCAGTTTTTTTTCCACTAATCATCTTTTCCCCCTAATACCCATTGGTTTAGTCTTGGGCCTTTCCGTCCCTTGGGAAATGTCCAGCACCGCCAAGTCACGTAGTTCACCCGGGTCGCTTCAAATCGCCAAGTTCCCTCGAGCGTCTCGCCTCCAGACAGGCTCGCGAGGTGCCACAGCTGCTCGGCCCACTCTAAAGCCGCAGCGCTGGCTGCAATGGAGCACAGGTGGAGTGCAGAGTTCAGCAAAATACCCACCTGCCATGACTGCCATGTGGGTTCGGCTTGCATCCCCATGTCACCACGGTTGTTTCATTCATGACTTGGATGATTTGGGGTATCCCTATGACTTAGGAAACCTCCAAGTGATGAATGTGGGAAACCTAAAATCTCTGAAATTCATTAAATCTAGGGCTTTTGATGGCAGTTTCGACCGACACTCCTAAATGGTGAAATCGGGGATAAGCTGTTTGGGCTTTAGGGTCCAACAAAGAATAGGTAAGCAAAGAAACATTGGGACCTCAGCATTTTACTTACAAAACATCAATTTTTGGCAAACACAAATGGCCATTTGACCAAAACCCGTACGAACCCGCAAGATTGGGATCTGATATGGTCTAATGATTTGCCCTTGTCAATTAGTAATCCTGAACAAATGTCTAACAAACCCAATAGTTGTTGAGCACGGCAACACAACCTCTGGTTGAAATTGACTGATTGGTTCAAATTTTGCCCACAAGAAACCTGTGGTGCAATGAACAAAGCACAGCTTCCCATCCATGCTAGGATCCTCAATGTTCTTGTGCCACCAGGCCCGCACCTTTTCCCGCACCGTTTCAAGGCGCCTGTGTCTGGTTCAAGCCAGAGAAGCTTCCGAAAGTATCCTCATCCAAGAGTTGATTTTTTGGTTGGACCGCTCCCAGAATCCCAGATCCAGCTCAAACAACCAATCATCGTTTAGGCCCATCGGATGCAATAAAAAAGGAGAAATCTTTGGGTCATGCTGCTGATCAACGACCAACTTGCTCATTGTAGATCCCCTGCAAAATCCGTTTTTTTTGTTGTTCAATTCCCTTTTGTTGCTGGTTGAATTGATGAAACCGCATTTTTGTTGGTTAAATCCCCGTTTGTGTTTGTTAAATCCTCCAATGCTCATTGGTTGAATCCTACTTTCTGCTGGTAAAATCCCAATGTGTGCTGGCTAAATCCTAGTTTTTGCCCCTGAATCCTTCCTATCGCAGCCTTCAATCCCTATTTTTCTTCAGGAAATCCCCCTAAAACTGGGTCAACTGAGCTGCCATGCCACCCAGGCATCTTGCCCCAGCTGCAGCAGCTTTTCTCGCCGATCCTTTCGCACGCCATAGGCCTCGCCGCTGGCGCAGCGTGCCAGGCCGGTGAGGTAGATCCCCAGGGTGACCTGTGCTGCTGTGCATGGTTGTCTCGCAAAATTATATACATCATATACGTGTGCATATATATATATGTATATATATATATATATTCAAGCCATTCGGTTCTGGGTCACAAAATAGGACATCCCAAACCTAGATGTTTCATATTCATCATCAGTGTTGCCCCTTAAACATGCCATGTTTGGGGGTATCCCCTCTCAGAGACAGCCCATCTCCAATATCGGTCCAGGTGACATCCGTCATCTCCACTTGGTGCCTGGTTTGCAGGAGTCGAACTTGGCACAGACAGTCCCACCAGCGTCCCTGCTCACACCTCTTCATGGCAGACCCCACGACCGCCGAATCAAAGTGATTGGCCTTGATGGCTCTGTTCAAGTGAAGCAGAACCTTCAGGCAAAAAAAACAAAAAAAGGCACAGTCATTTCAACAAAAAGATTGGTCTTCAATCCAGAGAAATGTCTTCTGACTGAGAAATTTCGAGGCAATAGCTATAGCTTAGCAGTGATTTTAGTTGAAACCTTGAACTTCAACCATGCTTTACATCCTTTTTTGGACCCTGACGCCTCCTCCGGCCTTTTTGACCATTGAATCTTCCGTCGCGTCTCAGCAGACTCCTCTGGCCCGGGCGTCTGCGTCGGGGCCGGAATGAAGTCTGAGGCACACGGATACCTTGCGGTCGCTTGCACACCGGCATGCCGGCATGGAGGTTTCCTGAGGTTTCCTGAGGGGGGACCTCATGATACGTCTAGTATCGTCTAGTTATCATTGATATCATCCATTTATAGATACAGTAGGTTTTTCCATCATGAACCATCCAGCTATACCCCGGGTACCCCCCCATTTATGGAAACCCCCAAGTCATGAAATCATGAGAGTGTTTCTTTATTGATGAATCAACACGGGTTATTGCTCTGGCTTGACATGATTTGATTGGACCAGCCATTTCGGGGTCCATTGAAAACCCGTTATATTTGAAGCAACGGCCGTGTTGATGTCCCTCACGAAATTGGCCCAACACATAGTCCTTCTATTCTGCCATATCTAATAACTTGCGGCCATACTATAGGATAAATCTCCCAAACCATGAAACATCACAGAAAACCTAAAATGGCCATCTCATAAAGACTGATTGTTCTTTTCAATCAAGGCCTTTTTGACTTTCAATGCTCTCATGCGAATAGTACGGGCCTTTATCTTGAAGAAGTTTCAACCCAGTTGCAGCCGCTCCTCTGAAGTGCGACTTTCCAGCCGCTGTCTCTGGGCAATGAAGGTTTGCGCTGGTCGCGCATGGATTTGTCGCTGAGAGATTCGCGATGAGAGATTCGCGATTGGAAGACATGGCTTTCTGCACCACATTGGGGATCCGACATAGAGATTAAGACTTTATTGGCATGTTCTGTCCATCATCAAAAGTGGAAAGTCTCCTGCTGGGTTTAGCCCGTGGATAAATCCCTCTCACGTGTGGATGAAGGAATTCATTCCAACCAGACATTTTAAGTACTCCAATTAGCATCTCGTAACCTGCAAGATTTGGGCTCCCAAGAAAGATCCATGTGTGATATTGTCCAATCTGTGCCCACACAACTCTGTGGGAGTCATACTTTTTCTAGATGGAAGCTAAAGCGACGCCGCTCAAGCTGAAAGGATGCAGATTTCCAGTATCTCAGTATCTCCTGAAACACCTGCAAATTGCGCCACAAAACTGTACACTGTACTCACTGTACCCCTTTTTGTCATGGAATCGTACTATGAAGATATATAAGATATGTCTACACAGACTTACACAGATTTCAGGGGCAGACCTTCCAACAATGTAAACCCCGGAGCAATCAACCCTGGCTGATCAATTAGGGGTACCCCCAAAACAGTGATCATCGACGACGGAAATAGCAACCCTCAAACACTAAGCCGTATTGATGCGGGGTTGACATACAAGCAACAACGCAAAAGCATGTCACAAGGAAAAGCTCTGACTGGTTTTAATGTGCAAAGTATGTATTGTAAGGACTTGAGTAGTACAGAAATGTTGTCCGTCAATTCCGCGTCAACAAGGATCGCTCCAATTCTTCATTACACATATTTTCTGGCGGAACAACGGTTGCGTTTCACCGCATTGTGGTTTCTCCAGACTCTTTTGGTGTCAAGCCCTTCCTTTGTGTCACCCGTTGATTCTGCAATGCCATTCTGCAAGGATTACAACTATTTGTGGTTATGGATCAAATCCTTGATACTCAGCTGAACATCTGATGGCAAATAGATGTTCAACGCTGAAATGTGGTAAACTCAATGCCATAAGCCGTCCCCAATAGGACCATTTCTATGGGTGCCATAAACCATCTCCACATGGTTTGTCGATTTCGACCCATGGCTGTCACTTTGGTACTGATCCCCAATGTCTCACTGAACATGGCAGAGAAACCAAAGAAATTTGGCCCAATACTGCAAGGTGGTGCCCCCAAGACAGCTTAATTGGTTTATAACTCCAATATATAACTAGGACTTATGGATCTTATGGATTCTTATGGTAGATATATCTATAGTTAATGGGGTTACCTGGGGGACCACCACATTGTAAGTCAATACATGTCAATACTATCCCCAAACAAATTTGCTGCTGACCACAATAGATAGGACCTTCACCTGGCTGAGGCCGCCACGGTCATCTGCCTGGCTTTGCACCTGACGTGGGGAGGATTCGGATTTTTTGGAGGTAGATACTTTTTGTTTGGGGCATTGTTTCATCCATCTAGATCAAAATTCATATTCATGTTTGCATTAGATGTACCTTTCAACCTCTCTGAAATCGATGTATAAATTTAATCCACTGAAATCCAATACATGGCTTTGTCTGTAAATAATGCGTATGTATGTACCCTTTGGCCTAAAACCCCTGGTTATCCAAAAAAATGAACCATAAAAATGCATGGTTTTCTCATCCCATCATATTCGTTGCTAAATGCCCATGATGTTATAATAATAATTCCCAATAAATCAACTCATATAAGAACCAACAGTTGTTGGGGATCACTACAATAACCTTGTTCATATCAACCATCGTTGTTATTGATCATTATAATATCAACCAACAGTGGTATTTTCTTCACCGTTCGGCCAAAAATTGAGTCAATTCCCACAACGATTCTCCTCCCAGTGCCTTGGGTTTCTCGGTACTGGCGGCCACGGGCGCTCTCGGCGTTGGCGTCCCCTTGGACGTCCGTGGTGGGGTCTTGCTCCTCCAATCACGCGGCTCTAGTACCAATGAAAATTGTTGTTTGAAAAACATGGGGACAGTTAAATCAAACGCCACTCTATATCATTTCATATTTTACGATTTCATGTTTGGTTTGGATTTGTCTTTTAAATTCCAATTTCAATGGATTAGCATCAAGGTATACCTACAAGGTATACTTGTTTCCAAACACACCCATTTTTACTAGTAAAACATCAACTCAAGGCATCTACCCCCACTCTTGAACCATCCCAAAACGAACACCGTTCCGGTCCTGGTCGGAGCCGGAGGCCTCGGAACCCCATGCAGCAATTGTCGGATGGAATATGAAAACCAACTGGATTCAGGTGCTTGGAAATCGCAATCAAAATAATAAGGAAAAAAAGGCCGATAGTCGTATGGCAATCATGACAGTAAAAACAGAATGATTAAAAACTGATCACAATAGCACAAAACGATTTCGGGGATGATTCAAAACTACTTGGTTTTGTCAATAACCAAACAATTGCGGATGGTTTTTGATTGGGTTATTGAGAAAACCAGGTAATTGCCATCCACAGAACCCATGCGGGACAAAAAAATTGTTGGTCCTTGCCACCCTTCAGGGCCTTGGTTACCGTGCTCAGCAGTCCCTTTTGCTTTGGCCTTTGGAGCCATGGCGCCGAAACCATGACAAAACGGCGTCGAAAATTTTCAAGACGGGCCAATTCGTGTTTCATTTTTTTCCGGGATGCAAAGAAAACAATTGCGACATGGCATGAATTTACTCGTCCGACCATTTTTTTCTTATTTCACGCAATGATTAGCATAATTTGTTTATGAATTTTGGCCGATATTCAAGGAACAGTTCCACTGCCATTGCCACCTTTGCGTGTTTTGTCACGCGTTCATTTGATTGTTTTTTCCATGTCACTTTCGCGCCGAGGACTGCGAAACATAATCCGTTTTGGACCAAAATACCGTTTGAGAACATGTTCAACAGACTGGACACCAAATTGTAACAAAACCTGTTCCATGTCAACATGATGTTTTTTTCGCGTCCACATGTAAGTGATTTATAACCATCAATATGCAAATCAAAAAATGTTGGTTCATGTGCAGCATGTCTCTCCTTCTACGATCCACATTGTGAACAATCAAATTTTTTAATATTGGATGTTTTCTGGGCCCCCTCCATGCGCTCAGTTTCCCATAAATAAATGTCAACATGGCAATTGTTTGCAATTCGAATGCGCAAACAACGCGAATTGCCAAACCTTGGCACAAACGCAATGCCACATGAATGCACTGTTCTTTTGGGCAGTAACTATAAAAATATATGTACGTATGTATGTATGTATGTATGTACGTATGTACGTACGTACGTATGTACGTACGTACGTACGTATGTATGTATGTATGTATGGACGTACGTATGTATGTACGTACGTACGTACGTACGTACATACATACATACATACATAACAATACATACATAACAATACATACATAACAATACATACATAACAATACATACATAACAATACATACATAACATTACATACATAACATTACATACATAACATTACATAACATTACATACATAACATTACATACATAACATTACATACATAACATTACATACATAACATACATAACATACATAACATACATAACATACATAACATACATAACATACATAACATACATAACATACATAACATACATAACATACAAACAAACAAACATACATGCATGCATGCATGCATGCATGCATGCATGCATGCATACATACATACATACATAATATATATTATATATATATATATATGAAAATTCGAAAAACACAAAGGTTCAAAATACGTCATGTTCGTTGATGTTTTCGAAAATTTTCATGTTTCAAAATCGTTGGAAATGTGTCGAATTGTCCACAAATTGGGGACGGTTTGTCCACATCTGTCGGTCCGATTTGCGTGTGGCAGAAATGTTGTATTTTTTGACTAATTCAAAAAAAATGGAACAAAAAATATTCTTCAAAAATGTGATGACTACTTGTATAACGGTCAGTAAAGGAACCCAATTGTTTTCAAACAAGTGTTCGCCCTTGTCACTTGCGTATACAAATACAGCATTTTTTGTCCAATAATACGAGTTTCGTTTGATCCATTAAGAATTTTCACCGGTTGGAAACGGCCGCATCATTTTACACAACGACGTTTTGTTTGCCACCGGATTTTGGCATGATATGCCACGCCTCACGGGAAGATACCAAAATGGCACACGAATACACGTCCCTTGCATGTTCGAAAATGTGACAAATTTTCGAAATCATTTTCTGATCATTACAGAAGAACTTTCGTCGGCTGCAGACGGTGGGTGATCCATACTCCTGTTCTTGCGAAACAAATGTATAAGTTCAGCGGTGACAAACAACTGTTTCTAGCATAGCATCCCCCATGATACCACAGTTGTCGCATTTCTCATCACCTGCCACCGAATTAGATCTTCTGAAAATCCACAGTCATCATGGCAGAGACCACGGGTCCAATCAAAAACGGATTACTCCCAGCCTTGAAATGTTCTCAAATACAGAGGTCACGTTTCCATGAAATGTTAGAATACCTGCAACACTGGCGATCAATATGTTTTCCCGATCCATCACTAGTGAAAAGATTCAAGTGACCCCCACCAGCATGACATTCTGCGAAGTGACAGTTCCACGTACTATCTGCCTTGTTGAAATCCGTGGCATGTCAAACGGCGGTGAATTGGCCTGTTCCAAGTTCCAGGAGCAGTAGTTCCTGCTTCCTCTGGGAACGAACCGGCACGATCATGAAATCTGTGCCCACAACCCCAATAATGAGACCAGCGAATGCTGAAATCATAAACATGGCGAGCAACAGCTTCTCCATGGCTCTCCCAACACCGTGACTTGCCTACTTGACACACACTAGATAAGAACTAAATTAATTGAGCGATCCGATGGAAACTGAAATAATATGAAACCAAACAAAAGTGTCGATCCTAATTAGATTTCCTTGCAGTAGTAAACAATTTTTGTGATGAATATCCGAAAAACATGATCGCGAGCAGAAACTGGTTCAAATAACCCCCAATGCACATAAGAAAGTTAATAGATAAACATGAATGAATGAATGAATGAACGAACGAACGAACGAAGGAATGAATATATGAATGAATGAATGAATGAATGAATGAATGAATGAATGAATGAACGAACGAACGAACGAACGAAGGAACGAACGAACGAACGAACGAACGAAACGAACGAACGAAACGAACGAACGAAACGAAATGAATGAACGAAATGAATGAACGAAATGAATGAATGAATGAATGAATGAATGAATGAATGAATGAATGAATGAATGAATGACTGAATGAAATGAATGAAATGAATGAAATGAATGAACGGAATGAATGAAATGGAATGAAATGGAATGAAATGGAATGAAATGGAATGAAATGGAATGAAATGGAATGAAATGGAATGAAATGGAATGAAATGGAATGAAATGGAATGAAATGGAATGAAATGGAATGAAATGGAATGCAATGGAATGCAATGGAATGAAATGGAATGAAATGGAATGAAATGGAATGAAATGGAATGAAATGGAATGAAATGGAATGAAATGGAATGAAATGGAATGAAATGGAATGAACTGGAATGAAATGGAATGAACTGGAATGAAATGGAATGAAATGGAATGAAATGGAATGAACTGGAATGAAATGGAATGAACTGGAATGAAATGGAATGAACTGGAATGAAATGGAATGAAATGGAATGAAATGGAATGAAATGGAATGAAATGGAATGAAATGGAATGAAATGGAATGAAAAATGCGCCTTGCACAGATCTGCGGTCAGATCTAACGCTCCTTCCAAAATTCCTACAGAACTACGCGGGTGAACGCGTACGTCAACCACGCACACCAAACACAAGCGCAGCGCGTAAATCCCCAAAACTAATTAAACCAAAGCAGTACCGTGTCAAAAGGAATGTTTCTCCCTCGACTCCCACATGCTGACGTCAAGCTCCTTCTTTTCGCTCCAGACGCAACACGATCAGTCAAAGAGAAACACAAACACAACAAACACACGAGAAACAAAAGAACAAACAAGGGAAGATGTTCGTGTTCCCCTTTGTCGGTCTGTCTTATGTCAAGTTATGTGACACAGCAGCTCTGTTCATTAAATGAACTTCTGACACCAGTCCTTCGAGCCGATGTCTCAACTGGTAAACTCGATTCCAGGTTTCCAGTTAACAAACCTCAAGTTCTTCAAATAAAGGTTTGTTGAAACTATTCCAGCTGCTAGGAGTCTACAAAACTCAATTTCACTAGATGAATTCAAAATCATCGAAACACTTCCAAAAGTTCTCAAAACAAACTGGTTCTCATCCAAACGTGAATAACCAGCTCACTAGTCATAACGCTGACTAACTTCTCAAGAACGAAGTGATTCACACAAGGTGTCTGTACAACCTTCTTCTGGATACAAAACATAGTCAGAACACAAAGTTCTTTCTCCAAATCAGTTTCCCACATAGAGATAGCATCTCACAGTTTCCAAGCTCAATGGAGAATAAAGTGTTCTATTCGACATTGTCAAGGTCAGCCAAATACAGTTGTATCGCTGAAGTCTTTCGACCACTGTAATAGCCAATCCACAATGTAGATCAAAGTCGTACCAAAACAATATCGTCCTCATAGAGATAACCAAAGTCATCTCAGGAACGATAAAAAAGCACACCATAAGATCAAGTGCATGATCCATAGGCCACGATGACGATGATGTAGGTATTGTCCTCACAATACCGAAACATCGCATCACAAAACTATCAGACAAATAAGATGCCCAAATATGACCATTGTCCTCACAATGCCAACGCATCTCAAGATCCAAGTTCAAAGCATAATAGATTCCCTCCATCAGATATTTCCAGCTAGCTTAAACTCTTCTCCAAGAGTTTCTAGCTTTGTTCTCATCACTTGGAGAGAATGACCTTCTCAACGTCGAAGACGTAATAAACAATTCCAATGTCAAACCAATGTAGGTATTTTCAGCTCAAGCAATAAGCTGTACCAGACTCAAGTCGAAGCCAGAATAAGATGTAGAATTGATCCATATACCACAATCACTGGTCAACACTGATTGATGACATCATCCTGATGTCAGAAATGATAAGTCCGAAGACCAATAGAACATTGTGACACAGGATGGTCACATACAAGATTCTTTCCGCAATAAGTAGAGTGTTCTCTACCAATCTTCCATGACTTCTTGCAGTAACCTTCCACATATCCTCTGTGCATAAACTGTACAACCAATGATGAGTGGCATGTCGCTTCACCCTTACCCAAAGGGCGCTCACACAGGGTGTCAAATTTCCATACCCCCTTTCGACATGACATCTCATCCACTCACTCGCTTCCAGATACCCGTACCTGAAAAATGTTCACGTTCCAGATCATATCCATGATCAAAAAAATGTCCAAGGAAGTACGTGGACTTCCAAAACTCACGGTAGATGATAAAGCATCATCAAAAACTCATCTCGTTCTACTCATGCACAATGTCGTAACTTCCAAATTCAAAATCTTCTCTGTCGCAAAAACCAGATGTTGGAATACCAGACTCAGTTCAAAGA